GCGGGGAGGGTGAAATGAAAGGCCGGCCGAGAGAAAGTTGGGAAAGTTGCGCGAGCGTTTCTTTGAAGTTCAGAAACGTCTTGCTGCACTCGCGAGGCCGAAAAGATCCGTGTTTGTCGGATTAAACCGGGATTCTTTTTTTTTGATGCTTTCAACCTCGGCTGTTCTGTTCTACTCAAAGTTCATCTGGTGTGAAAGATGATCGCCCTCCGTGACGTCACACACGTCCTGCCGGCTTTCTGTGTCTGACGCCGACCAGGACCACCAGTCAGGACGATGTTAGTACCGTTATCAACCAGTGCACTGTAGTTCGAGTGTGTGTGGGGGGGGCGGCGCTCACAGAGATGCTGTCCCGGGAGCCGTCGGGCCTGTACGTCCAGGAGAAGGTGACGTCCTCCGATGTCCAGCGCCAGGAGAAGAAGAAGCAGGAAACCCGGACGTCGGACCCCAGCAGGGCGTGGCGCTCCCACCCGGTGTAAATCACTATGGCCTGGGTCTGCTCGGGGACTGGGAGACACCAGACATGTCATACGTGACGAATTACACATAGTCTGCCTACAATTACAGCCTGCGGAAAGGAAGCAGGTGTCGTGCACGTGACAAAAAAAACGCCGATCACAACCCATAAGTGATAATGAGGCTTTTGCATATTACACTTCTATAAATCTCAAAATATGCCCCCCCCCCACACACACACACACACACACACAGTGTAAACACAGTCAGCAATGCACTGAGAAACATTTGGATTATTGCTGGAATATTGGTGCTGGTCTCCGTAAATCAAAGGGGATCCTCTTCTCCATTAATATGGATTACGTTGGCTTAATCGCATGTGCTATTTATGGTTGAATAATATCAAACGATCGATGTTAATTTGGTTTTGGCCGCAAAAAAAAGAAAAAAAATCAATATTTGACTTCCCTGAAAAAACACCCGGGACGTGTCAAACAGCCCCCCGGGGGGCTGCACAGCATCCTCTCTGTGTTGTTCACTCACTCAGAACGTGTGGCCTCTCGCTGTAATTAAAAACCTGACTAATATCTATGGGAGAACGGGGGTGGGGGGGGGCAAAGAAAGCCGCCTGCCTGAGAGCAGAAACTCTCGCATGGGGTCACCTGTGGAGGACACAGGTGACCCGAAATGCTAAGACATTAAATCAAGTGTTAAGCCAGAGTCGAGGAAGATCAATTAGTTCCTTCTTAAGCCCATTGACGCATTTTATTACCAATTCTATCAGTATTCAGGTATGCGGCGAAAAGAAAACACAGAAAATGCGCTCTTCTTCAAATCCTCACTTAACCTTTGACCCCACATCAGTGAAAGATTATTTCTACATCTTCGCTTTTTTGAATAAAAAAAAAAAAAAAAGAGTTCAAAGAAGACGGAGAAGAAGTTTCTTTTTCTTCTTTTCTTACCGATTCCCAGCAGGACAACAGACGCCAGCGCCAAAAACGTCAGCATGGTGTCTGGCTTCTGCGGCGCTCCCAAAGGACGGAGTCTGTCGGGGAAGAGTCCCGCCGAGGAGCGAGTGGAAGGAGGCGAGAGGAAGGCGAGTGGAGAGCGGAGGAGTGGAGGACGCCGGGACAGAGGGCTTCGAACCGGGGACAACAACAGGAAACCCACTGTCCGCCGGTTTATACCCAACCACACCCCTCGCAGAGGCCCGGCCCGGCCCATTTCCCCCCCACCACCACCACCACCACCACCACCACCCTCCCCCATCTCACCCCACCCGCTCCTGCCGATTCTCTCCATTTCGCCCCACGTTGAAACAAAGCACACACATTATCTCGTGGAGTGGAGGGGAGTCACCTGGCTCACGGGCACGAAGACGCGGTGCGAACGTAGGAGGGGGGGGGGGGGGGGCGATAGGGTGTGAGATTACCCCCCTCCAGGAGAGAAACACTATCAACCCCTCTGCGTGTGGTGCGTTTAACCAAGGGTGTGTGTTCTGAGTCAATGTTGGAACCCTCCTGCGGGGCCCCCTTGCCCTGTGAAACGCTGCCCAAATATGAAAAATAGACTGTTTACAATGAAGTCGGGGGGGGGGGGGGGGTGACCTGCAGCGAGGTCGGCCCGGCGGCGCTCTCTCCCCTCCGTCCCCTCGCTCTCCTCTCCGTGCACTTTCACCGGGCCGGCGAGGGCCCCGTAACAAACAAAGCCCCGACTCTTTGCCCCCCCCCCCGTGTCCTCCCTCTCTCCGGATTCCTGCCGTTTGCTGACGTCGAGCACTCGGGGACAAAGGAGAGAGGGGGGGACTGGGGCCGACTGGTGTCCGCCGGCCGGTCAATAGCGCTTTCTTTCTTTCTTCTTCTTTCTTTCTTCTTTCTCCCTGCCGGCTTTTTGGGGACAAGGCTGCGCATTCAAAAATCGCATCGCCCGCCCGCCCAGCTCTTCCAGTAACACAGACGGAGGAGAGAGTGGGGGCGAGAGCCGCTATATATAGACGGGTTGATGCGGGGACGGGACGAGAGGCGCCAAACATCGGGCCCAGGCGGCGGCGGACCCGGAGGCATGGACGGGGAGTTTCAGCAGAGGCCTCGTTCCGTCGTTCTGTCACACGTCGTAAACGTGCACGAACGGGACGCCAGCCGGATGCTCAGTTTCCCAACATGAAGTATAAATCCTGTCAGGCGTGATGGGAGTCCCGCCCCCCCTCTGTTGGTAATGCACACAATACGATAAGAGCGAAAGCCGAGGAGCCACTCGACAACGACGTCCACTTTCATTGAGCGCCTGCTCATCCGGGATCTCGCCTGCAGAGCGTCGAGATCGACTTGCCTCCGCTTACACTTGAGGCCGCGGCGTAAATTCCTCGCCACTTGTGAAAAAATTGCGAAAACGCTCATTCGCCTCGACGCCGCGAATACCCCCGGCTGACGGATCAGCTGAACGGAAAAACGGGACCATCTGCCAACTTGTTGGCGGCCCTCGGCTGTCTAAAGCTTTGGCTCGGACGTCTAAATCGCGACATCCTTAACAATCACGGCAGATCCCGCCTTCAGGCGCCGGGGGAAACAGGGGGGCTCTTTATGAGCCTGGCAGGTGCAGAACGTGGCGAGATCCCAAAAACTCCGAAGCGCCGAATGACGATGGCAGGGGCTCAGCTTTGGCAGGAAGAAACTGTATCACATATAGAGCAAAGCTCCCCCCCCCCCCTCCCGTTCCTTCAGCTGGCAGCGGTGTATAGCACTCTACCGTAGGAGCCGGAGAGCTTATCTGCAGCTAAATTATACAGCGGGGAGAGGTGGAGGAGAGGTGGAGGAGAGGGGAGACCAGGGGAGGAGGAGGGGAGGGGGGGGCACCAAAGGTGATCCGTACAGCGATTTCTGCTCAGTTACACACGAGTCCTCTGCTGCAGGACAGCGACATTGAGGTGGACGAGGCTTGATATCAATTGGCGCAGAGACGACTGAATACACGCGGTACCCGCGGCCTCCAACCCATCGCGGTTCGCCTTCGCCGCCCCATCGCGGCCTGGGCCTGCGTTTGGCGAGGGCGCGTCATTAGACACCCGTAGAAATTCACACAGCGTATTTACTTGAGATATTGTAATTTTCTTTGACATGGAATTATTTCCAATGGCAGCAGGGAGGAAAGAACATTGCAACAAGGCCGGGGATAATCGCAGTCTGGGAAAGCGTCCCGAGCTGTAGATGTTAGCGGCTCTTGTCAACTCCATCCGTGTCTAATTTGTCTATAATGTTGAGTGTGTTTGTCACAGATCTGAGAGCAGTTCACAAGGCAGGCTGGCAGATTCGCAGGAGGGGGATTTTGGGCTTCTGTGAAAGGGGAGCGATGGCTTGAGGGTTTCTTGCCCGGTTAAGACGAGGGGGGGGGGGGGGGGGGGGGGGGGAGGATGTGCACACCCCAAAAGGTCATCAACACTAATGACCGTCAACAACGATCCGATGGACCCCGTTACCCTCTTAAGCAGAAGCCTCTCAGTGTGGCGCACAGTGAAGCACTTATCAAGTGCTGGGGCGGCGGCGGCGGGCGGCGGGGGGGGGGGGGGAGGCAAAAAAAACCCCGGCGCCATCGCAAACCAATCACCGAGTACTCTCGTAAAACCACGAGGTCGGCTCACAGTTGTGCTGCGGGCGTCGGATAATCAAGCGAGACATTTCCATAACCAAATACGGCTAATGAGCCATGGCGAGCAATTGGCCAGAAAACTGTCAAAAGTTAAGGGCCAGAAGGCAGGATTACATAAAGATTACATGAGCAGCCATCGAGGTTTTTATGATAGGACACCGGTTCAAAGCCCGCTGACTAAAAAAAGATCTGAAGAAGAGAAGCATGCCACAAAAAAACGATCAGGAACGTGCCGACATACGTTATCTCAAGAGCAGTGATCCCCGACCAGGCGAGTACCTGTATCTCAGGGGGGCTAATCTCAATTAGCTGTTTGCAAAACTGGAAATTTAAAATTGGAATTTGAAATGAGTCCTCGTGTTGATTCAGCCGCGACGCTCGATCGTCGTCGGATCGTAGCGGAAATAAACGTGCTTACAGACTGAAAAAATGATTTCTCCGTTCACGACAACTGAACTGCGGCTGAATCTCACCTGTTTAACATAAATTAAAAAGTCACAGTGTCTCGGTCGCTTTGATAGGCGGGCGTCGACTCGGGGCGCTAGCTGTTAGCTGCTAGCTGTTAGCTGCCTGCTTTGTCGCCACCTCTTCGGCGTTTGGCTCCACCTCTTCGGCGTTGCCGAGATGGCTTTTTCGGACCCCTGTGGTCGAGGTCCTGGAGGCCACGGCCACAGTTTAAAATAGGATGTGGTTTGCGCGCTCGCCGCCCGCAGAATTAGCACGCTAACGCCGCCATTCACCTGCCTTCAAGTACGGCGGAGCCGCGACCTCATCCACAGCGGACTCGGTCCTAAGAGGCTTCATTTTCATTTATATCTAACAACGAGAAGTTGTAATGATTTTAGGAGGCACGGACGGGCGACGTCCTCCCGGGGGAAGAGCACTCCGGGGGGCATTTACGAACAATACAACGTCGATTAACTTGGAGGACTCGCTGGCACAGCTGCACACAACTGGCACTGAGCTGATGAAGAGCCGGCGATGAGTCACCCGGGGCGCCACATTCCCCCCCGCTCTTTTTTGGGGAGGAAATAATACCTTTTTAAGACCGGGGCTCGGGGTGGGGGGAAAACTTTTTAAAGGCCCCAAAAATTTTTTTTTTGGGGGGGGGGGGGGGGGGGGGGGGGGCTGACATCATCAAATCCGAAAGGTTACTGGCCAACGCTCGGCCCTCCTGCTCAAGAAAAACACTCTTGATATTCCGTGGGTTCGTCCGGGGACAATGGCGGGGCCTGTCCCTCCCTCTCCTCCCTCCCTCTCCTCCCTCCCTCGAGGGCCCTGGCATGGCAGAGATGTCACAGAGAGCACCGAACAAACGGATGGAGGGATGGAGAGAGGGATGGAGGCATCGGGGGAGGAGGTGGAGGAGAACAAACGTATTGTTCTCGGGGTGGAGAAAGGCTTATTGTGAGCAAGACAGATCGCTCATGTGGGAGAAACGGGTCGGGGGGGGAAGAGAGAGGAACACAAAAAGGACGGGGAGAGGTGAGACCTGGCTTTTTTTTTTTATAGATGCCCCCCCACCTCGTCCTCCTCTCCCCCTTTTCTCTTTGCGCTTGGAGGTAATCCATAAAGCTGCTTTAGGGGACACTTCCTCGGACTTTAAAGAGGGACACAGCAGGGACAGTTTCAGCGGAGGAGCATCTTCAGCTCGCCTTTCATCTGTCGCGACACCACAGATCACTTCTGGGGAGGGTTTTTTATTTTTAACACATCATGCTCCACCAACCGCCCCCCCCCCGAGGCCCCCGGCTACTTATGTAACAGCAGCGAGCAGGTAGATTTTTGCAAATGCAAACCTGCCCCGCGGGATCCGGCGTGACGTGATGTGAACCAACAGCGCAGCTGCTCGGACCTCGCTGGAGATGGAGGCCTCTGTGCAGCGACGCCCTGCAGGCATCTGCCCCCCCCCCCCCCACCCTCGGTACACACGGTATACACACACACACACACACACACACACACACACACACACACACACACTTAACCAGGCACACACACCTTCACAGAGATGACAAAAGCAAAGCAAAGCCACACACACACACACACACACACACAGAAAAGAGGAAGCGGATCCGGTAACGTCTCGTTGGCTGTCAACACAAAAGGTGCACAAAGACAAACACACATCGGGAGAGAACGCGGTCAACCTCAATTCACAACAAAAGGCCGCATCAATATGGAACTGAATTCATTACGCATTTGCATTTTTAATATTTCACGCTGCGCTGCTCGTTTGATTCCCAATTGGCTCTTTTTTGCCGCGGCAACTTTGAAAAAAAAAAAAAAAGATGAAGACGCGAGGTGATGAGATCCACGACGAGCGTCAGAAGAAGAAGAAGAGAGGAGAAAGTATTAAAAGAGCAAACTGGTGAGAAAAAGGAGGAGTGAATATGGATAAAGATGAGAGTACGCTGCAGATAAACGAGGGTGGCAGACAGAGAGGGCAGCAAATCTGAATATGGAATTTCCATTATTACTGTACCACAATGGCGTCCTTCAAACGCCAACGCCCCCCCCCCAGCACGCGCACACACACGCACACACACACACACCACCAGCCGATCAGCATGCATACTTGCACACCCTAGAGAGCAGACG